GAATCCAAAAAGACATCCATATTTGCTGTCTCCAAAAAGTATTTTTTTCTTCTGACTTATCTGCCCCTAACAGGGCAACACTGTGTCAGCTAAGATGCAAATGTAGATAAGATTACCTTTCTTTGATCATTGCTTCTGTTCAACACATTAATGTCTTTGCTGTACCTCTAAATATTCCTTCCTGGCCAGATAAATGGCTTTAATTCACCATCATAAATAATCCCTGCAAGGTAGGATGTGGTCCCTCCTAGATCATTTCCTGCAGAGCAAATGTATATTGTCTGGTGGCCTTTGCTACCCTATCTGCATGCATTAATTAAGTTGCTGACTTCAGAAGGAAACGGAAGTTTGCTGCACATATGGCCTATAGGTAATGTGCTCTCTGATCATCCACAGGCCCTTGATTCTGTGGTGCTGGAGACCCAGACAACTATGCTGTTTTTGCTCTCATTGCTGTTTGGTCCCAACCTTGTTTCGTTATTTGCTTGACTATCAATTGTCTCAAGTCTTTGAAACTCATGCTATACCTGGAATAAAGTAAGGAGATGTTTGCCTGACCCCTGGCTTAGATAGAAGCTGTCTGGACTTACAGACTTTACAGGTAACCAGGCCTGAGTGCCTGCCTTCTAAATTTGTACCATTAAAAAAAAAAGTGGGGATGTTTCCTAGCTAAAATAATTCTACCACTCATTCATTGGCTCCCTAAAAATCCTTCTATCTGCCACACCATGTCTTGCCCATAGAAGCTCTTATTAAATGATGCCTTGGAATACTGGATGCTAGGGACAAATAATAGAGGAGGTGCCTTCAAGATGTTTTGGCCTATGGGACCCATCAGCCCAGCCAGCGTGGACACTAGTAACGGACAATGGGAGGTATAGTCCCTAACATCTGAAGGGCACCAGGTTGAGGAATGTTGCTACAGATCAGCCTTCCACCCAACCCCTCATGAGATCTAACATCAGCCTGTCCATCCCCCGGGGGGGGGTGTCTCATGACTATTCTACACCTTTGTCCCACAGAAAGGAATTCTGACATGTCCTTCATAAAGTGTTGCCTATCTCACAGCTGCAGAATGGATTGTGCTGTGGCTCCCCTGTTCCCTGGCAAACCTTAGTTCTGCCCTCTTGGCCTAGGAGTTGAAGGCTCAGAATCTCTGCCCCAGTGCCCTGCAGATCACTGAGTTCCTAGATGGCCTACTGTGTAAATCCTCTAGTCCTCCTCCCAACCTTAGCCTTGAGCTGCTGGCATCTGATACATACTTGGCCTTGTCAGGTAGTCATAACACAGGCAGCAGCATACCCCCATTTAACTCATGCTGGCGAGCACTCTGCATCCGTCATGCTCGGCTGAGACGCAACTTTTTTTGCTGATTTTGTACAGGGACAATCCAAACCACCCGCCCACCTCAGCAACAGCTCCCAGGCAAGGGAATGGCATGCACACTTTTTGGCATCTTCCCCAGAGACTCCCTTCTGGACATTGCTTGGTAGCGATTTTGCTATCTTTGGGACATTTTTTACTGCAGTGTCCTAGAAAGCTTTGGTTATCTTGTGAAGGAGCTAGTGCATTGGATTCAGGCACATGGAGTCCATAATAAATTATCTGTTGGGGGGGAGAATGAGCAGAATACTGAGGCGACAGTTTAGGCTGCTTGGGGCAGTTTCTGGACTGTTTAAGTAACCTATTAGTAATGAACTAGGTGACATTTGTAGGTGGCCTAAGGTTTCATAAATCATGGCATTGTAGAGTAGTTATAACCTCTCTTTTAGACAATGATTGCTGTGGAAATCCTGAGTTGAATGGGGCTGTGGACCTATGTTGTTCATTTGTAAACAATGCAGATTTCTGAAAATCTGAACAACACATTCAGTTTTGAATTCTGACAGCCTTGAAAAATGTCTCCTTGTTTTGTTTTGCCTTGAGGAGGAAGACATGATGACATCATGTGAGGAAGTATAATGTGCCTTGTTAGCCAATTAGTATTTGTGTCTTGGAATGGTTCTGTTTGTTGAGAGTTAGCTTGTTTGATTACTCGCTTGACTATTTTATATAATAACTTTACTCCAAAAGTTTTGCTTAGGAATTTGTGACATTTGAATATGCTGTACTGGACACATTTTAACATGGTTTTACATATTTGGTCCTTTGCTATGAGAATCCAACTTGCTTTAAGAACTGAGGCTGCATTCCTATTCCCACTTACCTGGGAGTAAGTCCCACTGAATTCAAAAGTACTTGTCTTCTGGATAGATACAATTAGGATTGCAGCAAATTGAGATTGAGATGTCTTACAGTTAACCAGCTGCCACCAACAGTCTGCTGCTATCCTGGGATATTGCAGGAATTAAACTAAATGCAAGACTAGAATGATGTGTGATGATTAACACATCTAGCAGCTTGATGTAACCCCCACTGGGGTGATTACCCAAACTGTGTAGATGCCACTTGGGTGCAAAGAGTGGCTAGCCATCTGAACAGGGCTCAGATACTGGACAGCAAAAGCAGATGTTATGTTGTGTTCCGTTATGTTACAAAGAGGAAAGAAGGTATTTTGTGCTCTCCTGCTCTCCCTTTCCCTCCAAATGGGTAAAAATGCACTATAAGGATGGGCTTCCTATGGAAACAGTGAGTGCACAGGTGCTATGAATCCACTGGATGGGCAGTTTTAACAGAGGGAACACCAGTTTCTGAGATTTTGGTGTGTTGTTCAGTCTCTGCCATGCTTGGTTCATAGTGGTCTGTTACCTAATGAGGATTGAGCCTTGAGACACTTCTTTTAAAAAACAAATCTGGAGCATTGTCAACACCAGATGGCACCAGAGCTTCCTTAGGCAAGATGACCTTATTTTGTGTTACTTAGGCAAGTTTCTGCTCTACAGAGACATGCTAATAACCCCAACTCATCTTTGCTGCCTTAATAGCCCCAAGGGCATCACAGTGGAATATATACCTACTGATCTCATGGACAGGGCTACAGCTCACTGGTAGAACACATGCTTTGCATACAGAAGGTTCCAGGTTCCGTCCCCAGCATCTCCACATAGGTCCAGGAAAGACCCCTGTCTGAAGCTCTGAAGACCCACTGCCACTCAGTGTAGACAATACTGAGCTAAATGGGATAATGGTGCAGCACTGTATAAGTTTCCTATGTTCCTGTTATTTATTTATATACCACTTACATGCCAAAATGGGTCTAATGGCTCTCCTATGAATATGTGGAGAATCCCTTTCTAGAATGACAAGTGCAGAGATTTTGCTCATCCTCTGCAGTCATTGCCATAATGTCCTCTGCCATCATGGGGCTTACAGTCCAGAGTAACATGGGGCACTTGAGCCTTAGCTTTGTGCAAAGAATCAGTGCTTGTCTTAGTGAGAGACCATAGGCTTTGAGATACACAGAGCACAATTTCTGGCAGTGGCTTAGAGAAAGCAGTGGGGGTCACCATGCCCTGGGATTTACTACCACCTTGATTTCTGCCAGTATTACCATTGTAGGGGGGAGTGAATGGATGGGGAAAGCAAGGAAGGGTGGCAATGACCCGCCACGGTGCCTGCCCTGGGTACACTGTTTTTGTTCTGTGCCGGTCCCCTGCTGTTTACTTTTCCTTGAGTTATGACTATGTCTTTGCCTTTGATCTGGCACCTCCAACTGCCTGTTGGCTATTCTTGCCCTACCTTTGGGGTTCATTCACCTGCCAGTTTTACAACTCACTACAGGCTGGACTTGATGAAAATGCTGATCTCAATGGTTATAAGCAAAACCTTTTGTTTGCGGTCCCTCTTGTGGGGTATGAAGGGGACAAAGGTTTATCTAAACCTAGGCTCCTCTCAAAAGCAAGTCCACCCACTATTCCCTCCCTGCAAACAAGTCCACTGTTCCTCAGGAAAAGAGCAGGGGTACTGCAGGAAAAAGCATCTACAGAGGAACAGATTGAACAAGATGGCTCAAGCAAGCAAGCCAAACCATGTGCTATAGAGAAAAGCACAGTTTGTAGATGCAGTGACCATTAACAATTGCTCAAGTCCCTGGCAATCCCTTCCTTTCATTTTCCTTAGTGGTATACCTCTAGCCAATGTGTTTGCCTTCTCCTTTTAGAGACATGCAGGAAAACACACAGTAGTTCTGTTCTGTTTCTGTTTTGAATATGGTATTCTGGACCATACTGTATCAGTGAACAGGGTGAACGCTCCCTAAAATTGCTGAGGTACTGAATTATACTGGGTGGATATAATCACACTGTCACTATGAATAGGTCATAACACTAGGTTTCATTTGAAAAAGCACCTCCTTCTAGCCTTCATGGCTGTAAAAGGTGAATGCAGCATTTGCCAAAGACTCCGTGGGCCTTTCCAGTGGTTGCACATATTATTCTGGATGCTTGTCAACTCAGTGCCATAATGTACAACATAATGTGTGGGGTGGGGCAGCTTTATTTCAAAGGAGCAGCTTTTCATTATGCTCGTATTGGTAAAATGAGATATTTGTGTCCTCCTTTGCATAGCCTCCAAAGAAAAGAGAAACAAAATCATAAAGTGTAATAAAATGGTGAGAGGCTGTGCTGTAGGCACAGTTGTTAAAGGGCTTCATGGAACAGCAAATGAGTACTCAAAACTTCCAAGTGGTAAGGAGAAACAAAAAATATGATAACATCGGCATGGCAAAGGGTTGTCACTCATCTCCAGTCATGTTATGGGCCATAGTCAGTAGGTGCCCACAATCCTGCAGCATTTGCAATCCAAATGTGTGTATGATTAGGGGAGACGAGTGGTTGCATTTGCTGTGTGGCATAATATTATCCTTTCAGTACTGGGAATATGTGATTTTCCTGCAGCAGAAGCACTTTGAAGGAAAGTGACTGGATTCCTCAGAAGAACCAAGTAACATAAGCACATACAAATAAAAGCATTTTCTGTGAAGGCTTTGGTTACACTGGAAGGGCCTTTCATTAGTAACTGCAAGAATAAGTCTTTTCATCCTGTTATTCCCTGTCATAGCCTATAGGTTCATTTCCAATACTCCTTAACTGCCTACCCTTGGTGATTATATCCTCTGCATCCCAACCTCCTTGCTTTCTTTAACAGTACTTTTGCCATCAGAACAGCTTAATTTGGTGTGTGTGGTCATCTCCCAACTGTGTAGTTGCCTCTTCTGTTGATGTGGAACCATTTACTTCCATTGAACCCAAAGTGATAGATCAAAGAACAGGTGCATTATTTATATCATTTGCAGAATGTGCTCTAGTCACAATGCAATGGCAGAGCCTTTCGTCTGAACTTGTAGCAGGCAAATGTCTGCTCATTTTGGTGAAGGAGAAATACACGCTTGCATTACAGTGAGAGTGATTCATATGGACCCAGCTTCATGTCACAAACCTCATGTTGTAGGGAAGGGAGTTGATAGGCAGAGTCCCACTATTCTGCATCGTGAAGCTGAGGCTTCCATTCAGACTTCTGTACGCAACAGAAATTGATGACGTCAGATTATCCCCAGATTATTTTACATGACTTCTGCCACTCAGTAGGATATCTCCCAAATTAGTGATCCCAGCCTCCTTTAGTTCCTTGGACCTCACATTAATATTTTCTAGGATGTTGGCATTTGGATAGAAAAGGAAGATCTCCACATCTGAAGAATAAGCTCCCCTCACCCCGCCACATGTAGCGGAATATCCTTGTAGCTCAGTGACAGATCAGCTGCTTTACAGGAAAGTTCTGGGTTCAGTTCCTAATATCTCATCTTGCAGAGGTGGGGAAGACCACTGCATGAAGCCTTGAAGAGTGGTTGCTAGTCAGAGCAGACAACACTAGGCTATACTGGAGCAATGGTGCAACCCAGTATAAGGCAGTTTAACATGTTTAATCTAATATATGCAAATGACCAGTTGCAGAGGGAAGCTGGAGCCCTACTTGATGCTCAAATGGTCCTGAAAGAGTTTAGGGTGGTTTGGGAGTTGTATCAAGACCTGTGTGACATTCCTCTCTCACTCCCCACCCCTTTCTGCCAGCCTGCTGTCCCCTCTACTATTAGCTGGGAGCCTTGTGCCACTCCTATGGCCTGGAGTGGGAGGAGTGGGTGACAGGCACTGCCTTTGGACTCTGGCCTTGAGCAGCTCAGTGGGTGAGTGCCTGGAGAGGAACTGCCCTGTTATCTGTTACACTTTGTTCTCCCGACTGTTTGGGTGTGGAGCAGGCACAGTGCACAGAGAAGTTATCTCTGGAAGCCTTTGAAATGCAGGCAGCAGGCTGGGCTCACTGTGTTCAGGGGTGGGTGTAGGCCTTGTGCCCCTCACCCTGTGATGATAGCTCTCCTCACCATTTTGTCATAAAAGAGAGGGGGGGACTGTTTCACAGCTCTTCCTCATCAGCGTGTGTATCTGGGTGCCCAAACTTTTTTCAAAGTGAACATGTGTGAGGGCTGGCCAAAGTTGTTGAGCTTTTTACAATTTCCCCCCAAAGTTGTTCAGCTTTTTTAGGATTGAAGTTTACCTTGAAGTTGCTGGGCTTTTTTAAAAAGGATTTTACCCCAGGACATATACTCCCACGGGGGCTGGATTAAATTGATCAGCGGGCTGAATTAGGCCCCCGAAATGGACTTTGCACATGCCTGGTGTAGGTAGCAGCAGCAGCAGCAGCTGGGATCTCCTCCTCCAAACACTGTAGCTACCCCCTTTTGGATCTGGTGAAACTGGGCATCTTTCCCATTTCATTCTAGCCTCCAGATTGAAAATTGGAAATCCTTTCATGTATAGTGAGAATTTCCCCAGGAAGTGATACTCAAAGCACTGATTGTTTCGCAGTGAGAGCCATTGCAAGAATTAATCTATGAGGCTCCTTATATCAGGTCAGTGTTTTTGTCCATCTAGCCCAGTATTGCCTGCTCTCCTGAATATCAGGCAGAGATCGCTCCCCTCACCTGCTACATCACCCATTTAACTGGAGGTACCGAGGATTGAACCTGGACCATCTGTATGCAAAGCATGTGCTCTACCACTAAAATATTATCTCTCCCCAATTACGGCTGTTTAGTATGCAGTACAACTACTGAGATGCCTTTCCTATCACACGCATTATTGGTAACACTGTAGTACAGAATCAGCATCCTTCTAAGTGCCTATCTGGTGAGCTGCACAGTGGTAGCTTGGTTCTCAAACTTAATCCATTTCGGGAGTCGGTTTGACTCCCGAAACCAGTGCTTTTTTCGGGGGGGATGCAGGGGTACGCATACCCCTAAACATTTTGTGAATCTAGGTTTGGCCTCATTGAGGGGCAGTATTTCAATATCAGTAGGAAAATGAGAGTACCCCTAAACAATTTTTGAGAAAATACTCTGCCCAAAAACATTCGAAAACCAAGGCTTCTGATTGGATGAAGGAGCTTCCTGCACTCAAGAGGAAGCCGTGTCGGATGTTCGGCTTCCAGAAAACATTCGCAAACCAGAACATTTACTTCCTGGTTTGCGGTGTTCGGGAGCCAATTTGTTCAGAAGCCAAGTCATTTGAGTACCAAGGTACCACTGTAGTTGAAATGAGGCTGTCTTGTGTTGTGTAGTCTAGTTTCTTGTATTCCCACCTCTGACATGCTTCATAGCTAGCTTGACATGCTCCCCTTTTGCTTCACAGATTTTGCCCCAGGCTTGCTGCCTGGGAGATGGGCACCAATTCACTTCTAACCTGAAAGAGCTCTATGTGTCAGTGTCCCAAAAGCAGGCTAGGGCAGCTTGCAAACGGCACTGGGAAGGTGAGTAAATGAATCATGCAATGGGAAGGATGTGTCTACTGCAACACTACTCTTGTGAAGATAGGAATACATCTGGCAATGGCCATAAACAGGAATAATCTTAACTTTGATGTTTTTGAACTGCCACAAAATAGCCATGCAATTTTCCTGATGCATCTCCAGATGGGCTGCTTCTAGCTCAAAAAAAGAAAGAAAGCTAGTCTACCCACAAGAGAGTGAAACAACCTCTTGATGTGCCATTTTTATGTGTATTATTCTCTTGTACACCCTTGCCATTTCTCCTTGCAATTCCTGCTCATCTGTCTTAAGCACTGGCCACTCTGGCCATTATCGTTCATGCTTTAGTACAGGGATGAGGAACCTTTTTCAGCCCCAAAATCACATTCCTTTCTGGGCAGTCTTTCAAGGGCCACGTTCACATGTATTGCTCTGTTCACTTTTGCCTTTGGCTGCTGCCCACCACTGGCACGTATCTTTGTACAATAGGCTAGAATCTATACCAGGGGGTGCCAACCTTTTTGGACTTGTGAGCACATTTTGAATTTTGAAGAAATACTGGGAGAGCCAGTCACAAAATAACTGCTGTTGGAGGACATGACATAACACAAAATTTGAGAGCCAACCACCCCCAACAACCTGATGCTTACACAATATCGTAACTAAACACTGGAAGAACCTATCGGGAGTGAACATAGACCATGGGTACCAAAATGTGTGGGAAACCACGCTACTAGAGAAGCTAACCAACAAACTCAAACTAACACAGGGACAAGCAAAGGAGGACGCCTTCACCTCGGTGCATAGCTGTCAACGTTTCCCTTTTTTAAAGGGAAATTCCCTTATTCTGAATAGGATTCCTTGCAAGAAAAGGGAAAAGTTGACAGCTATGTTCCGGTGTGGTTCCCCTTTATCACAAACACAGCACAACGGGACAATGACCTATCCCCCCACAACAGCATAAAAATCAATATGGCTTGCCTGACCCAACAACCTAGCCCTCCCCCCAAAAAACAAGCCACACTGCATTCAGCTGAATGAAATCAACTAAGCTTGGGAACCCCTAACCCAGGCTTCCTCAGCCTTGGCCCTCCAGATGTTTTGAGACTACAATTCCCATCATCCCTGACCATTGGTCCTGCTAGCAAGGGATTATGCGAGTTGTAGGCCGAAAACATTTGGAGGGCTGGGGTTGAGGAAGCCTGCCCTAACCTCTCGCATTATCAATAATAAATAAATACATAAACAAAGGACCTACCCATGTGATGCTGACACAACCCACCTAAACTAATACAGTAATAGGCAATAGAATAAAAGAACAATACCCCCCAACTCTCTCTCTCCCCCCCCACTCCTTTCCCCCAAACTGCAATATGTCTATGACAAAAGGGTCTCTCACCAAACATAAACGAACTGTGAAAAAGACTATGAATTGAACGTGGAGACAATAGATGTACCTTTCCCTGTTTATCTGTTTGCTTTCTAAAACAAAAACTCCTTCATAAAAACTAATTTTTTAAAAAGGAATTTGCACATTCTGCCCCATAACCTTCTTTCTAGAAGAGCTAGAGACTTACTTTAAAAAAAAAGAAAAACTGAAAGCTCAGAGTCTGTTGCACCTGCCCAGGCACACCATTGGAAACCTTCACAGCCACCATGGTAAAGACCCCTAATTTATACACACTTGCACACCCTTCTCTATACTCCATGTAGGCAAGGAAGAGTCAATCAGTGTACAAAGAGACATTAAGGCCAGGCAAAAAGACTTGATGATCTGAAGGAAGGCCAGCAAGGGTTATAGCCTGGGGAGGGAGTGTGGTCTGGAGAGAAGCCTGGAGAGCTGCATTTGGCGTTAGACATGGGGTTCCCCATCCCTGCTTTAGTTATTCCAAGGTTGGATTGCCATAATGCACTCCATATGATGCTGCCTTCAAAGTCTATTCAGAAGCTTCAGCTAGTACATAATGCAGCTACTTGCCTGTTGATTGGTGCCTATCAGTATGGTCCTATATCACCTGTTTTGAGGCTTCTGTGCTCATGGGAGTAGCCAGGGGGCGGGGGTGTATGTGTGTGAAGCTGCCTCCCGCTTAAATCAAGTAAATAATAAAAATACTTAACTAACTGACCTATCACATTGCAGATAGCTCAGTTCTGCCCCCCCCCCACATAAATCCTGTTCCTGCTAACATAAATCCTGGCTATGCCCATGTGTGAGCTACCTGCCTATTTGATTCAAGCCCCTGTTCAAAGTGCTGCTTTTTAACCCTTTAAAGCCCTCAAATGCTCGGGTCCTGATTATCTTAGGGAAAGTCTCCTTCCCTATGCTCTCTCTCCTGGCAGTTGAGGTCTTTACAAGGATCAGTGCCTTTTCAGTGGCAGTCCTAATTCTTTGGAATTATTCCAAAAAAGAGACACACATATTTTCCCCTTCTGTCCTTTATGGAAGCCAATAAAAATTATGTTTCAAAAAGTGATCAAGGACTGATTTCTTCTATGACTGCTACTGTATGTACACTTGCTGACTTTTTATTCTTTATTCTTTTATTGTTGAAGCTTTTAATTTTGTAAAATACTATGAAATTTAATGAGCAATGCTATACATTTGGATAACTAAATAAAATGTGGTCATATTTGCCTTCCCTACTGTTAGTGTTCCCCTGCACATTTCAGTATGGCCCAACTCCTTCCAGCTGTTTCCATTTACAAGTTTTAAACTTATGTAAGTGGTATAGAGTGAGGATGTGAATTATCTTCCTTAGATGTTGGAGGGAGGATAGACTTGTGGGTTAGTTGCTGCTGCTACCCCCAGAATCACATGAAGCCAGAAGAGATGGCCTCTTGTTAAACTAAAATTATCCTTTCCCGGGACACTACTGTTGTTACTCTACAGCTCTGTGATCTTAGGGGGAAGGATTTATATTTCTGTATAGGTAGGTACCTAGGTAGATAGGAGATGTCAATTTACAAAAATATATTTATTTGATTTCTATCCCTTGCCCCTGCTCTTTCTTATGTACATTGGCCTACTGAATTCCTCGCTCCCATGTATGTTGTTTTTATTTGACACTATCAGGAGACTGTGAGAGTCCTGAACATGCCAACTTCCAGGACCTTGCCCAGAAGGCTGCAGATTTGCCAACTGAGGAGAAGAAGACTGAATCGCAGTCAGCAGCTGCACAGTGTACACAAGACACAGTGGTGAGAGGAGCCCCTCAGCGTACATGTGGGAATGGGCCAGGGAAGGGATAGATGTATGAGGATATGATTTGGGGTAACCATGCCGTGAATGTGGATGGAGAGACACAGGAACTTTCCCAGAGATCCTGATGCATCTACTAGATTTTGCAGCTCTGTTATGTTATATAGTGGTCTGACAGCTCCACAGAGGTGTGGCGGAGTAAGCAAACCATAGGTTGCCAGCCCATGTATGTCCTGCAATCTTGGGATAGAAAGGGGCAGGTGAATGTCTACAGTTTGGCAACAAACACAAGAGAGTGTGAGGTGCTGTTGCTCATCGCTTACTGAATACCAGCTGTGGGTTGGGGGTGCGTGGCAAAAGGCTTGTCAAGGTATATTTGTAATGTAAATAGGAGAGGAGGAGAGCTCCCTAGCAGCAGAAGGCATGGGAAAAGTGGTGCCTTTTTCTGACTCATCCCAATGGTCCACCAAGGCCAGTGCTCTCAACTCTGACTGGCAATGATTCTCCAGGGTTCTTGGCCAAAGGTTTTCCCCATTACTGCTACCTGATGCCAGGGTTTATATCTGGGGATCATTTGCATGCAGAGCATGTGCTCTACCACTAAGCTATGGTCCCTTCACTTAGACATTTTAAAATGTACATCTGCCTTCATCCTTCTGGCAGCAGTTTCATAGGGATTCATACTGGGAGCCACAGGAGCTGTGCAGTCACCCATCGAGGATGTGACCAAGGATGGCAGTGCAAACAATGTTATGCTGGAGGAGAAATGAAATAGGAAAAGTGTTGGGAGGTAGCTTAATAGATTAGAAGGAGGAGGTAACATGCTGTTGGTAGAAGAAAGACTTAAAAGGGTAGATGGGTTTTACAGAATAAGGAGAAACTAATGAGAAGGGGAGAAAACAGGAATTGAAAGCAGACCTAAGGCCTAGTTTGCTGAAGCAATATGGTTGCCACTTTCATATTATTCTATCCCGCAGTGCTCCAGTGATATGTGAAGTAGCAAAGTCACATGGGAAGAGAAGATCATGTACTGACCCTGCCAGCGCATACAAATTTTTGAAAGCTCATAAAATGAGGATGGCATTTGTGTGTGCGAGGAGTTAAGTCGTTTGCCAGTAGTGTTGTTATAGGCACTAGGCAATAAGTGTATGTGACATTCATACAACTGCATTCCAGACAGCATTCCAGATTGCAGTGACTGGGAGAGAGAATTACATTTCCCCAGTGATTATATATTGCATTTTGAGTGCTAGAAAAATATGATGTTCCATCACAGCGGAGCTTCCTAATGGAAAGGTGTCTATCCCTGTTACAAATGAGTAAAAATTGCACGTGTTGTATAAATAAGTGAATATATAAGTTTGGCCATGTGGAAAAACAATAGTACTAAAATGTCAGTGCAAAGCAAAATCAAGATTTGATTTACTGCATGAAAAAGAGTAACTAGAGAGTCCTTAGGAATGTAGTTTTCATATAAACAAAGGGGAAATGGCATAGGCAAGGGGGTCTTGGTCAATCCAAACCATGCTTCACCATCCCCTTACTGAGTGCCCTGCATCAAGAGGACTAGCTGGTGTCTGGAGTAGGGACTTCCCTTGTTCACTGTGAGATTGTGAAACTCATGGATGTCCTGTGGACTCCTCCAGCTTCTTTTTTCCCCACAGATGTAACCTTCATAAGTTAGATATACAAAAGACACATTTATCCCATGACCAACCAACATTACCATGTGCTACTGCCAGCTACTTGCTACTGTTCACAACCCATGCAACAACTGTAAGCTCTGTGTCTGGATAGCCAAATGCTCAAAGTGAATATACCAGAGAGATCCTGTGCGGCTGTAATTGTTTTTGTTTGTTCCTACTGATGAATTGATTTGTTAACTGATTGGTTCTAACTATTGCCTCTTCTTTCCAGGTACCTTCCTCCCAGACTCAGAAGGTTCATTTGCCCATTGCCAAGAGCAAAAGGAAGAAGGCAAAAGGGCTATTTGGCTGATGCAAATGACTCTTCCACAGAGACAGAAATGCTGTTGTTGTATTGAACCTCTCCCTCTTCCTGGAACAACTGGAAGAGAGATGGACTTTTCTCCTCCAGAATACAGCTATGCCACTCTGTTCCTTCCCTCTCCCCTCTTTCTTGCCATGTTGGGCACCATAGTGGGCAGTATCCCCTTCCACACTACAGCTGTCTATTGCCCTACCTCTGCTTATTTTTTTCTTATTTTCTGGAGTACAGATACTAGCCTTGAAACTTGGAGATGATGCATTCAAAGTAAAAAGCAGGGGAAAGAAAGTGGGCAGTGATAGGAATCCAAGATTGATAGTTATCTGGGCTCCTACTACACCTATTCTGTCCATAAAATCTATACCCCACTTTGTTAATGTGTGTGTAATGAAGACCTTGGATAAAAAAGTTAGGCTTACTGATGCAGTGTCTTTTACACATGCACTATACAATGCAGCATTGCCAGCATCAATCAGCTGAACCACATCTTCTTTTTTCTACAAGCTTACAGCCTTCTTGGTGGTAGATAAATGTTTAAGAAGGATGTGGACATCGTCTAACAAAGGTGCAAAACCCAAAGCAGGGCATGGGTTGGGGTTGAGTTGGTCTGTGTGATTTGCATGGTCTTTCTTCTGTCTCTGCACAGAATCTATGTCTCTTAATCTGTGTCTTCCTTCTCTTCCACTCAGCACTTGCTTCCTCTCATCCTTTGTTTAGTTCTACTCTATTTTTCACAAAATATACTGCAGAGGATTAAATTTTGATGAAATGAAGGTACATTATACTGATTCAAACAAATTCACACAAACATAATTTTAGCCTGGGCTCCACTTTCCTTGATGCAAACATTTGCTTTTTTAAGGCACAGAATATTCTCTTCCCTAAATATCTAATGTTCAGTCTGTGAAACCTTAGTCCTTTGACTGATCAGACTTTTCCTGGCCTTATAGCTAGAGATAGGACATAACCTTCTACCTTTATTTTTGCACAGAGGCAGTCCAAGGGATGCTGGTGCCTGAGGTAGAAAAATGACACCTTCCCTAGTAATAATAATGATAATAATAATAATTTAAATCTTTTGCTGCCTATCAATATTCCAAAACTTGCCATATACAATGTCTAACAACAAGTTTAGAACTGCAGCACCCAGAACTCAGAGCACATATGGGGTTCTCTTGGACTTTTTGTTTAATATCATCATGTTTGTAAGCTGAAGTTCCACACATCCTGAAATATTTTCTGCAACATAGATCTACACAACTTTGGACTTGCCAAGCTGAATGACATCTTTCATCTGCGGATCGCAGGGCAGTATTTTTAAAAATCACCTTTCTGCCCCATACGAGTATAAGGGCTCACTGAGATCTCAGTACATCTATTGCTTTTGCTATTTGAGACCACAAGAACAGTGGGCTTGTATAGCACCTGGCAATGATAGCATTAGGCTTCTGGGCTCTGTTTGGCTTGTGCGGTCATGAGTTGTACAGGACTGTGCTGTAAACCCTTCTTACTCATACAGTTCATTACTACATAGTCCTGTCTTCACTGGAGTACAGTTCTCTTCTTGTACTGACATTTACTCCATTCTTATGCCCTTCTTCTATCCTTCAACCTGCAGAACTTCACTATACCAAACCTCCAGATTTTTATAGCAAATGTTGTGTCATTTGATGCCCATGAAGTCCTAGTGTTGTGAAAGGAAGCAGTTTACTGTAGCTGCAAAGCAGGCTTCTAACACACTACCCCCTCATACCTGCTTCCAGGATCAAAAGGTGAATAAAAACAGATTGCTCTTGGCCAAAGGAATTACAGGCTATCATTGCAAGCAAGCTGGAAAACCACATCCTAGAGGCCAGAAGGGGAAGAGGCTTCTGCCATAGCAAGTGATGCTAAAGAATTACCTTCCCCCAAATGCTGTCCTGCCCATTTTGGCTGTCAGTCAAGTAGTGCTCATGCTGTCCTGCTGGGCCACACCCAATAGCCACAGAACCATTCACAATGAAATTAACTCCTCTGACCTTAGAGGGAATTAAGCTAAAAAGTCTCTTCCTTTTCCTCCCCAGTGAAGCCAGAATACTTCAACTCTGCTGCCTGTTAACAAGATACTGATATGAAAAATGAAGAAATAGTAGATTCAGAGTTCTAGAATTATCTAAAGATTCATCCTAACATATTGGGGTTTGCCACTGACATAGTGCGACACATTGTGCTATGGTTCCCACTGCAGAAACAGAGGGACAAAAAGGTTTCAGTGAACTGATTGTAGAGTCTTAAATTGTTTAACCAGAACAGTACAGTTTTACATTACTGAATGTTTTTAAAATGAAATTTGGAGTTTCCCTGTTCAGGGAAGTTTTTAATCTGTGATATTTTACTGTATCTTTGGTTTTTATGGAAGCCGCCCAGAGTGGCTGGGGAAACCCAGCCAGATGGGCGGGGTACAAATAATAAATTATTATTATTATTATTATTATTATTATTATTATTATTATTAAAATCTGGAGTCTTAAATTCATATTTTGAAACATATAGAATGAGTGATTAGTGGTCTGGGAGGGCACATGCTTTGCATGCAAAAGATCCCGTGTTCAATCCCTGGTACCTCCAGATAGATTTGGGAAATGCACCTGTCTGGAACCCTGGATAGTCAGCCACTGACTGTCAGTGTACAATGTACTTGCAGTCAGTCTTAGCTCCCTAGTTTATCTAACACTAATTTTATACTCAAACTTCATACCCCTCCATTTCTATTGTTGACATATCTGTCTTTTTAAAGCAATTAATATGATTATGTTTATTACATCTGAATATATATTGGGGGGAGGGGGGAAATTGTTGAAACATAGAGCCCCTCCAGATCTCTTTTTTACTGCACAGTCATCATGATTTGCCCCCAATGTGTTAATGGTGAAGTTGTACATGATTGCACTTTCAATAATGTGCCTGTGAATGTTCCAGGGTGATTAAACTAGATTAGTTGCAATTGATGCTTGTCCTGCGCTTTCTTGATAATAATTCTGTAACTTCTTGTACTACAAAAGTACCAACTTCCTGTCTTCATCCACATGGGTAACATACAGCACATAAAACTCCAAACATAACAAACAAAACCCCAAGCCCTAAGCCTACAATTTCAGGCAAAGGAAACATGCCTGTAGGGGTAGTGTGCAAAGATTTGTACTGAGACAGTAAGGGACAAAACTGCACATCTCCTGATACAAACTGAGGAGTCAAACAAACATCTTTCCCCCCTCCCCAAGAAGTTGGGGGCAGCTTGAAAGAGTGAACACTTCTTGGGTATGTATACTCATTCCACTGTTATCTTTGATCCAATAAGTTTGGCAGGTTTTTCATTTTTGAAAAAACCTGCACAACCTGTTTGAACATAAGCAACAACATGACAAAAGGGACATGTTTGTACACCACAAGAAGCAAAGCCTCTTTCAAACCACTTTCAACTCTCTTTAAAACAATCATCTGGCTCCTGTCTGAGGATGTCCTAGAGGCTGTCATTCCAAGCAAACATGCTACAGGCAACAAGCAGAATGGGTGTGAGTTCTGTCTGCAGAACACAGTCCCTGACCACCACACGGCCCTGCCCAAGTGGTGCAGCCCAGACAAGCATCTGCATTTGTCATTAAAGAGACATCATCAGCATAAGGAGAAGTGAAAGAGTTTTTTGTAATAAAAAAAAAATTGAAGTAGTGGTGTTCCTGTTCAGAGACTACTCCTGGCTGAGCTACTTTCACCTTTGCATTAGACATTTCCTGCTGGGAAATCAGGCGGCAAGTGACACTGGGAAGGGTCCAAAAGCAGCCATTGCAATTAGGACTTGGTGTATCGTTAAGAAGGAGCATTCTTGCTCATCAGGCTAAGTAGCAGAGAGAAATGACACAGAGTATGCTGACAAGACTATGACATTGTTAATTTGTTTGACAAGAGTTTAATGACAGCCACTACCATGACACAAAGTAATACGTACTCAACTACTGTGTCTGTGCCAGTCACTCTAGTTTCATGTTAAAATATTATATTAACTGGTTTTACTATTAGCAGTGGAAGCCACTTTATGGTAAAACATCACCTTATCCATATATGGCACTTGACCAATCTGCAGAACTGGCACTGTTACAGGTGTCGCATGATACTCATCTCACAGTGTAAGAAATAGATATTTTACTGTGGCAGCACCCACACTCCCACCCTGTTGGCATCAGGCAGGTGCCTTCACTGTACTCTCTTTGGTGCCTGCTAAAAATATTTTTGTTTAGGCAATCCTATCCAGATATGTAGACACATGTTTTAATCAGTTTTTCAGCTTATCATTGATTTTAATTATTTTTAAATAGTTGTTTTTACTACTCAAATGAAAGCCCTGTAGAATTTGTATATAGAATAGTAGCCTTAGGGTCCAAAGCACTGTGTTCTGCCAAAATTGCATGTTTGTACAAGGTGTTTTCTAGTGTGTATCTTTTATATATATTTTTATTGCCACTTGTTTATTTTTACTTCTTGAAACAATTATTTTACAACTTAACTACAATTGTCTCTAAGTGGTGTACAATAAATGAAAAGGTAAAGGACCCCTAACCGTTACGTCCAGTCACAGACGACTCTGGGGTTGCGGCGCTTATCTCACTTTACTGGCCGAGGGAGCCGGCGTTTTTCCGCAGACAGCTTCCGGGTCATGTGGCCAGCATGACTAAGCCGCTTCTGGCGAACCAGAGCAGCGCACAGAAACACCGTTTACCTTCCCGCTAGAGCAGTACCTATTTTTTATCTACTTGCACTTTGACGTGCTTTCGAACTGCTAGGTTGGCAGGAGCAGGACTGAACAATGGGAGCTCACCCTGTCACAGGGATTTGAACTGCCGACCTTCTGATCGGCAAGCCCTAGGCTCTGTGGTTTAGACCACAGCACCACCCGTGTCCCGTGTACAATAAATACAATACAGAAAATATTTAAAAATTGTCAACATGATAAATTCATATTTCTATTAAAATTCCTGCTGGGATAAAAGAGGTGCTTGAAGTTCAACAGAGTGGAGGCCTACCTGATCTCAACTGGGAGTTCCATAACATTGGGGGCACAACACTGAATGCACTGCTTCTGGTGGGTAGGAGTTGTGCAGCTGAACCATGGAGACCATTAACAGTGATTCCCCCAAATACGGTACCTCTGTGACTGGGCAGGGATATAAGGGATTCAGTAGTCCTTGAGGTATCCTGGACCTAAGTTGTTAAGGGCCTTGTAAATTAATACAAGAACCTTTAACCTGGCCTGGTAGTGTAGTGTATGGGCAGCCAGTGCAAGTTTTTAAATACCTGAATTATGTGCTGGCCATAGTATAGTCAATGTGTTTTGAACCAGCTGGTGGAAATGTACCCACAAGTAAAGGAACTATAGGACCCCCTACTGCAATATTTGTCCCCTAAAATATGTCCACACTCAAATCAGAAACAGTTGGCATAGCTTGGGATGGTCCAGGGTTTATTTCCAAATGTAAATCCTGCTGTTTCTTATGTTTATTAGTTTATTCATATGTTTATGAGTGACAAATTGCATGGAGAGACATTATTTGCACAAAGGTGAAGCTTTTGGTTTAATGCAATACTAGGGCACCTTGCAGGGGAAAACTCCTGGTGTATGATTTACTTTATGGAAGAAATCTCCCCTGCCCCGATTTCTTCAGGTAGTAGAAGCACCTCTCTTAAATGAGGAACTGCAAACCCAGGAACCAACTTCAGTCTCCACCCTTGCCTTCTAGTCTCCACAGCATGGGTGGGGAACCTCAGGTTTAGGGGGTGTCAAATAGAGACCCTCCAGCCCTCTTACTATGGCCCACTGAACTCTCCCCAGGACCCTCACTTATCCTGCTTCACCCCCTGAATGTTACTGCCTGGCTGGAATGTGTCATTGATTTCCCTGGATGGAGGATAGAGAGGGGTGTGTGAGTGCATGCAGAAACTAGCCTGCTGTACAAAGGCAAAGTTTACATTCATTGCTCTGCCCACTTTTGCTTCTATCTCTGTCCACCACTAGCATATGGCCCCCAGAAAGATGTCCAGAAGGGAAATTCAGCCCTCAGGCTGAGAAAAATCCCTACCTCTGGTCCACATTGGTACCTGAATACAAAGATTCATTCAAGAATACAAAAATAGATTTCTGTCTCCATAGAAATAGTACCCCATATTGAAAAACTTCCTTCAGTGTCCCACCCAATAACTATACAGCTCTTCGTGGCCACTTATGCTATTACGGTGAACCAAGGAAAACATTAATGAAAGATAAGGGAAGCAGTTGGGGAGGGTAAAATTAGTTAAGCTGCAGAGCAAAGTTATACATACGCTTTCCTAATCTACACTTGTTCTCTTAGTTTACAGATGCAAGAGTTGCCTTCCAGTGTTTAACTAACTTGTAGGGAGTCTGCAAAACTGCCTATATATTTTTGTGAGTGATCTCCATTAGCTCCTGCTTGTATTATAAAATTTTATAATGCTACAGTCTTCTAGTGAGACAGTAACCTGAGCGTGAAGGCCCTGAGAAGAGTATGCTAATGCACTTCATACCATTCTTGGGTTGATGTCCCAAACTCCCATCAGCCTTAACTCTTCTCTCTCCACTTCTTCCTCTTAAGTTCTAGCTCCCAGTCTTCCACCTAGTGCAGGGCATATACCTTGTTATTTACTTGAGGTGTGTGTATTCAAAGTGAACACCACACATAAGAACATAAGAGCCCCATCATAATCAGGCCAAAGGCCCATCTAGTCCAACATTCTGCTCTCATAATGACCAGCCAGATGCCTATGGGAAGTGCACAAGCAGGACTTGAGTGCAACAGAGCTCTCTCCACTTGTGATTTGCAGCAGTTTCAGGAGTCTAAACTTTCTTTTCTAATGCATTTCTGTCCCTTAAGACTGACAATAGGACTATGTATGGTGTGTAATGATGTCTCAGAAGCCCAGGAGAAAGGGGAGGGTGCACTGAGCTAAATTTTCTGGTATGGATCTTAATTGCCCAGCATAGCATATCTCCCTCATATAATCTGGTATGAGCTGATTGGTGCAAATCTGCATAGAATGGTTCATTTTACAGTGATAGTTTTATCTGACACATTTTTAGTAATATTAGTTTTACACACTGTAAACAGGTCTTATTAAGTATTGGCACTCAGCGTCTATTAAAAAGAAAATAGCATGCCCTCCAACTTTACCTGGAGATACCACGAGATAGCAGCAATTCTGTTTACCTCTGGATACCTGCTGCTTTTATCTGTGGGCAGAGCTATTCAGTGGAAGCCAATGGAAACTCATAAACCTGGAGCAGATAATCTCCCGCGCATTAGATTTGCAGTGACTATACCGAGAACTTGTGCTGAACCCAACGCGCACGTGGGACCCGGACAGCGTCCAAGTAGGCAGCCTCGCTTTGCAAAAATTCAATCTGGATGGTCAGTAATGCAAGGAAAATTCCCCCTCTCCTGTCACAGAAGTGCGCCTCGGTTTTAAAAAATAAGGAAATAGTGCCCCCTGGACTGCAATGCCAGTTGTGATTATGGGGATTTTTCCGGCTGCCCTTTTCGTGTGCCAGCCTGAGGAGGGAGGGATCCATTCAGTACTGCTACACCCTCCACGTCTCTTTTCGAGTCAGTCAACGCCACCACCCACTCCCTCACGTCAGAACCAGAGAGGCCCCCTGCATCCAAGGCAGAGGCTGAAGAACCCAACTCTCAAACTACTTGGGAAGCACAGCTTCTTTCTTTGGCGATCACTCGTAGCCGAGTAAGATTGTCTTCCATAAACACGGTTTTAACAATGAGTCCGTAAGTGACTGTGGAGGCCAATTCTGGACCCACACGTCCTTCCACAGTGGGGACATTGGTTCCCAGGCATGGTAACCCTGTGGGCCGTGCTGTGTTAAGCCCGAAGAAGTTGATCAGGGGCCGTTTGGGAGCAAAGAGGAAGCGTTTCAGGGCGGGAACTCTTGGCTGTGTAGGCTCTTTGTCGATTCCCCCTACAGTGTGGAGACAAACTGACCCCCCTCTTGCGAGGCGGGGGGAGAGAAAGGGAAAGTTGGATTGGCATAATTGGCTAGGACGCAGGGTAGTTTTCAGCCTATCTGCTATTCTTCACTCCCACTACCCACCTCACGCTTTGATAGAGTTGATACAGTCCAGGGAAGGAACTACAACCTAGACGGGGTAATAATCCCTAAATCGCAAGGATTATGCCTGACCTCATGGGAACAGCGAACGAAGAGCCAGGACCTGTTTCCTCATGGTTGGCGCTCTGTTGCCCTGAAAGTTTGTACCAGCCCGTGCTTGAAGGTGCTCAATACTAAAATCAAGTGGTTGTTACTACTTCCTCTGCCGATCCTCCCCTGACAGGTTAACGGGACTGCTGGCCTCTGGGTGCCGGCTCAAGGGACAGGAAGTTAGGGAGTTGGTTTATACAGAATCAGACCATCCACTTGGTCCACCTTAGCTCCTTACTGTCCCCACTGACTGTCAGCAGCTCTCCGTGATTTCAGACAGGGGATATTGCCAACCTTATCTAAAGATACGTATTAATGTCTGGAATCTGGAACCTTCTGCATGCAAAGCAGCTGCCCTCCCCTAGAGATGAATGTGCCAGTTTTGAAGCCCCCCCCCACTCTAAGTCCACACATCTCTTGCCCGTCCTAATAGCCAGAACCACTGACTGCCCCATATGCCTTTCTGTGGCTCCTTCCTTTCCATCCTTTTGCCTTGTTCTTGCTTCCACCCTACCTTAGCTGTCTGCCACAGCAGCCCAACAAGGGGGGCGGGGGCAAGCTGGCTGCTGATGTCCTCTTCGCAACAAATGCCCCATGGAGAGTATCCAGTGAGTGGATAGAGTTGCAACCTCAGTACTGCCCTCCATGCTGCATCCCATCCAGTCTCCACTGAACTTGCAGGAGACATGATTATTTCATAGCCCCAGCATGGACGTGCACGTGTGTATGTGTTCAACCAAACCCAGGAAGCCAGTGTGTTCCTGGTGCCTAGATAGTTGGAGCTGGCTCTGAGGATTTGGATTCAAATCTCTCCACCACCACTGCGCTTCTGCCATTGATTCAGTGAGTGACCTAAGGCGAGTCATAAGCTCACCCTGCAATTTTCTTTTTTTAGAGCAAATTCCACATTGGCTGCAGAATGGCTGTGCAGGCACCAATAGCTATGATATGCTTATATTTGCAGTAATAGGTTGCCATATTCAAAAAGCGACCTCTTCCTGCACCCTTCTAGGGTAATATTGGATCAGATCTTGGTTTAGGGTCACCGGATGGGTTGCAAACACTGGTAAGAAGGCCCAGCCCAGGAAAAGCTTCCCGTACAGCTCAGTATGGCTGTAGCTGGTTCTCTCTCTCTCTCTCTCTCTCTCTCTCTCTCTCTCTCTCTCTCTCTCTCTCATATAGGGAGCCTGGTGATAGAATGTAACCCAGGTGGGTGTAGGTCGAGGTGGTGCCATCAGAGCAAATCCAGGACCCCACTCAGCAAAAGGACCAGGAAGGGATGTCTTACTATGGGTTGAAAAAGCGAAATCTATTGGTCCAGAGACTAAAATGGACCTAAATGCATCAGTGGTGGGTAGGACAGAAAGCAGTAAGTAGGTGGCAGATGGATAATCGGCAGATGTTTTGTGATTGTGAAAGGAGGGAGCGGGCGTTACTAGAGGTTATGGGTAGCCCATTCGGGTTCCCATCAAGGTAGGTCTGAGGGGTCCTTCAGATACACTCTTTTGCATTGGTAGTTAAGACGGGCACCCTCCAGATCCAGTTGGACTACAACTGGAATGACCCCTGACCAGTGCAATCTCAGGTTGGTAAGGAAAGGGGAAAATGGGTAGTGCAGAGAAGTAGCAGAGAACTGGATGCATGGGCGTAGCCAAGGGGGTTCAGGGGGGCAGCAGCAGCCCCAGATCAAGTAAAACAATAGAAATACTTAATTAACTGACCAATCACGTCGGTCCTGCTCCCCCCGTTAACAAAGTCCTGCCCCCCCCAAAAAAAATCCTGGCTACGCCCATGGCTGGATGGATGAATTAAAGGTGAGGAGCAACAGAGTCCAGAGGAGGGCAGACCTCAGGGAAGTCCATTTATTATATACAGTAAAAGAAAATCGATCAAGCCGAAGCTCTTCAGTATGTTTTGAGAACTCTCTTCTCCCCAAGCCCTGAAGCACAAGTCTGCCTCTGACTTCTCGATTATGAGAGAGAATCCGAAAAGAACTTTTCACATGCTCGGGTTCACGCTCTCTTCCTCCCTTCCTCCCTATCACTTTGCATGTGCTCTGAAGCTAGGTACACGGCCCCGGGACTGAATAAGAAAGCCCTCGCTCCTCTCCAGACAGAGGTGCCAACTTGAATTAAATATGGGGGGCAGGTAAGCCCCGCCCGTCGACCCCTAGGAGTTGGCTCCTAAGTCTCCAGGCTGCGCTCCCGGGCGTTGTGTTGACTTTGCCCGCTGGCAGCTGCAAGGGGAAGCCCGGCCCAGGCGGCATTGTTGTCTCAGCCGGTTAATCAGATCCTACGAGTCGCTGTGGAAATATCGGGCCTCCTGCCGAACAATAGGGCCCCAGGAGGTGGTGGTTAAACTTCAACCAGCTTAACTTCCCCCCCTCCCCGTCGGAACCCAGGGAGCCGGGCACGCGAGCCAGGCGGGGACACCCCAAGGCAAACACAACACGGGGCGGCGGAGATGGGGGTAAATTGGCGGGGGGGGGGCATTAAGCGATCAGCAGGGGAAGCAGCTTTGAGGAGCTGAGGGCACCCGCCCCCAACTCTCTGTCCTCTTTATTTTTTTGTAATCCCAGCCAGGGATATGAGAGCGGGTTGGGCACCCGTTTTAACTCCCCCAGCCAGAACTGGCGCCAATTGTGGCAGCCTGGGACTGTGGTGGGGTGGAGAATGGCATTTGCAGACCGATCCTGCACTTGGTGGGGGCTTTTGTCCGGCGACCGAACTGACACTAACAGAAGTGGGCTTTACTCGCAAGTAAGCGTGTGCCTCGGCCCGCAGCCTTTTGGCCCCTCTTCGTGGCGCACGTGGAGTTGGGACTGGGCGCCAGGCGGGAGGGGGAGAAGGGGCGGCCCTCTTTGCCGTGGCGCATGCCTCCCCCGATGACAGCAGGTGAGCGAGGCGCGGGGGTGGGTCGGGCTCCTGCCCCCCCTCCCCGTCGGCGGGCCCTGGTAGTGGCAGGCAGGCAGGTTCCGCGGGGAGGAGGCGAAGGAAAGAGGGAGAGGGAGGGCCGGCCACGGGTTGGGTGCGGTCCTGGCGGTCCCCGATCCCGGATCTCTTCAATTTCCCCTCTCTGTCGCTCACTCGTGCGCCGCGAGCAGAGGCAGCGGCAGCGAGAGCAGCAGCTCCGGCGGCGGCGCTGACCGCTAGAGCGCGGCGGCGATTTAACCGCGGCAGCCAAAACAAACGGGGCCCGCGCTATTTATTGGCGGCGGCCGGAGCGGGCCGGCTCAGAGCGGCCCATCAGCGCACCTGCCCCGCTCGCCGCATGGACGCTGCCGCTGCTCGCTGCCCGGGGCTGCCCGGCTGCTGCCGCCGCCGCCGCCACCGCCGCTGCTACTGCAGTTCCTCCTGCTGCTGAGCGCCCGCTGGTCGTCGTCGGAGCCATGAAGGCGGCGCGGCTCCTGCTCCTGCTGAGCGGCTGCGCTCTGCTCTTGCTAGCGCCGCCGGTGCGCGGCTGCGGGCCGGGCCGAGTGGTAGGCAGCCGCCGCCGCCCGCCCAGGAAGCTCATCCCGCTCGCCTACAAGCAGTTCAGCCCCAATGTGCCCGAGAAGACGCTGGGCGCCAGCGGCAGGTACGAAGGCAAGATCGCCCGCAACTCCGAGCGCTTCAAGGAGCTCACGCCCAACTACAACCCGGACATCATTTTCAAGGACGAGGAGAACACGGGCGCCGATCGCCTTATGACCCAGGTAGGCACCAACCCCAGCCCCTGCTCCAGCCGCGGCGCTGCGCTGCGCCCTCTCTCTCGCCTTCGCTCGCTTTCGCTGCCTGCCTTCTCCACTCGAGTCTAACTGAGCGGCACGCTAGAACCCGAACCCACGTGCCCCCTGCCGTGGCTAAGCTAAACTCCGCGCTCCACTGAGCTGCTCTGTGCCAAGTGGCCGGCGAGCCCTTCGGAAAAAGGGAAGGAATCCTCCGCCGCTCGTCTTCCCTTCTCCGGGGCACCTGCTCACTCCGTGTGGGCTCTGGCCACCTGTTTGCTGCCACCTCCATATCCAGTCCTGTGGGTTTCGCCGGCTTTCGAGGAAAGCAAAGCGTAGCTAAGGGCTCCATGACCGTGGAAGCATGGAGAGATTACCGGGACCTTTGGAATGGCTTTTTGGAAGTCAGCTCCGGGTTCCGATCACTTTCCCGCTCCCCAATCCAGACCTGGAAAGTTATTAGACTCTCATTGCCGGTGGAAACCCTGGTGAAAGTTTAGGGGCGATGATGCATAATCAATGCCAGATCCTTTTATCAGCTTGGCATCAGTAGCAGTAGCACGGGAAAAATCACCCTTCTTTAGGTGTTGTGAGGGCGGATGCGTTCCGCGACAACTTCTTGTTATTATTGATTATATATATTGGTTGCGTTTTTCGGGGGGGGGGGAATGAACTCAAAGCAACTTTAAAAAACAAAATAGATATAAAACAAGAATAAAAACATAAAATAACATGCATAGATGAGCAAATCCAACTCCACCCCACCCCACTTAAAAACATGTTCAGGAAATTAAACTCCCAAGGCCTGGGTGAATAAACATGATTTTTACCTGGTGCCCAAAACAGCTAGTCAAGATGTCAGGTTTGCCTCCCTCAGGCTCCCTGGGAAAAACATTCCACAATCAAGGAGCCACCACTGTGAAGGCCCGTTCTTGTGTCATTACCCTTTGCATTTCCCTTGGAGAGGATACACAAAGGATTGCCACAAATGAAGTTCTATGTGCGCATGGTCCCAATCCGGCAGAGGCGCCCAGGACTTTGAAGGGTTGGTAGGATGGTGATGGGGAGAAATTGAGGTGTTTGGGGATTGATTGATTGCCTGCCTGCTTAGTTTTACAGACAGCATTAAATCCTTTCATTTCTCTCCCTCCCTCTCTCATCCCTGCTCTCAATTTCTTTCAAGAAATGAGATGTCTCATCAGGCACCAGCATAAATTGAAATGTGGAAACACATATTGTAATGTGGAGGAAAATGATAGTTGAAGTGCATTAAGAATCATTATTATTATGAACTTTATTCTTCCCCACACCCTTTTCCATAGAGGTGATCACCACAGCACAGATTTGCAATATATTTCATATTCTTATTATAGACTGAACAATTCTGTGAGATAGTCTAGGCTGAAAAGTACAGTGCAAGCAAGGTTACCCAGTGGAGCTTTGTGGCTGAGAGGATTTCATACAGGGATCTGTTCATGTATGGTTGGGGGACCATAATTCCCATTATCCCTAGCCATTGGTCATGCAGACTGGGACTGCTGTATGTTGGAGTCCAACAACATCTGGAGAGCCACTGGATCCCGATTTCTGATCTAGGTCCAGCTCTATAGCCACTGTCCAATTATAGCTTGTTTGCATAGAGAGTAGGTTGTGATAGCAAGGCACCTGCCTGTTACCAAAAACAACCTGTCTGGGGGGCAATACTTTGATACCTACCTCCAGTGGTTGCACATATTTGGCCTTACAAGGCAGCAAGGGTGGGCATATATGCCCCCTGACCTGCTGTTTGTCTTCCCCATCACTGCAGAAACCATTTCCCTAGCATCTAATTCAAGCAGCACATTCCCTCTTGGAAACTATTTTGGCTTCTCTCCAATGCCCCTTTACTATGGTTTCTCCCCTAATGTTACTATGAAAAGACTGGGTTTACCAAGAGTTCTGTTTTGGCTCATTCTCCACAAAGGGGACCTGGCACCTATTCAAGTAGACTGATGATTGTAGCCCCACAGTTCAATTCTATGTTGCTTTGCCCAAAAGTAAATTCCACTGTGTTCAATGGGATTTACATCCTAGAAAGTGTGTTAAGGGCTGCAGCTTTAGTGTGGAAAGGTAAAGGTAAAGGGACCCCTGTCCGTTAGGTCCAGTCGCACGCAGATGACTCTGGGGTTGCATCGCTCATCTTGCCATAACTACATCCCACTAAGTTCAGTACAGCTTGCTCCCATGTAAGTATGCATAGGATTGCACCCAAAGTGTGATAGGTAGAGAAGCAGTACCCAATACTGGCACTTGAGCAAGTGGTTAGGCATGGATAAGTGCTTTGTGGGTACAATCAATCCCAGAAATTGGATTTTAGGATAGGGAGCATATATTATGAATGTCTCACCTGACAGGAATGCCATATCTTGAATATGATGTTTGCCACTTGGGTGCATTATTTAAATAAATTATTTTATTTAATTATTTAAATAAATAATAAATAAATTATTTAAATAAATAAAAAGAACAATCAATGTATCTTTAATTGTGACCTAATTCGATCTACTCTGCAACAGGCAGACGCCACCATGTCCCAAACTTTTAAAAAAATAGATCAGTCTTGAGTGGTCTACTTAAAAAAGAAAGAACATAATTCTTGTATTCTACAAATGTGATCTAAGTTGCACACTGTACTCAGGCTCCCTTCACATAACTTGTGGTGTGAAGGGCAGGATATAAATATTTAAATATGTAAACAAACAAACAAACAAACGTAAGAAATGCCTTGCTGGCTTTGACCAAAGTCCATCTTGTCCAACATCCTTTGTAAGGATCCTTGCAGCCAGCATGTGCTGGGTGGATCACCAGAAACTGGTGCATCAGTGTCAACAGGGGCAGGACTTGGGGGCAGAAGTCTGGGGCCCCACTTGGGAGAATAAGCAGGATGGCTCCAAATATGTTGGGGTTGATTTATCACATTCTGAAGCAAGTGAAACAATGCACATTACCATCTAATGAGTGGATGGGCTGTTAGGCTGTTAAGTCCAATTACCTGTGCCATTGCACTGGTTAATCATGATCAGCCTTCTGTCCACTCCTGGCTTAGATGAAAACATCAAAGGTGTTGGTTGGCAGCTGTTAGCTCCAACAGTCAAAAGTTCTAACATTCATTTTCATAGGCTGCTGCCCACTTTGCATATCAAATGATGGAGATTAACAAGGGATAGTGAAAGCTCTGAGGACATGCTCTGCTTGTGAACCACCTAGGAATATTGTGCTGGTTTGGTCATGTCAGAAAACAGAATCCCTGGCTAGATGGTAGTGGGTTATTTATTATGCTCTTCAGATGCTATTGACACTCAGTTAAACCCTACAATATAAGAAAAATGCAGTTCAATATCAGATGACATGGCAGAGCAGTCTTCGTCAGCCTGGTACCCTCCAGATATTTTGGACTGCAACTCTCCTCAAACCCAGCCAGCATAACATGATGGGAGTCATAGTCTGAAAAATCTGCAGGGCATCACATTGGCAATTACTGTGACACAGGGGTGCCAACTTGAATAAAATATTGTGGGGCCCAGGTAAGCCCGCCCCACATAATCAGTCACATGACACACTGCACACACACCATTTGAATGGGAATGCTTATAAACTTTGTGCGGGCCCAGCCCCCTCAAATATTTTATTGTGGCAGCTGAAGCCCCTACAGCCCCTAGGAGTTGGCTCCTATGCTGTTATAGCCATAGAGCAGGAGGGATTCAAGTATGCCATGCCAGAAAAGCCTATGGGACTAGGGATAAGCATACATAGGAAGCTGCCTTACATCAAATCAGACCATTGGTGCATCTAGCTCAGTATTGTTCACACCAGCTGGCAGTGGCTCTCCAGATTTTCAAATGGGAGAGGCTCACTCCTACTTGGAGATGCTGGGGATTTAATCTGGGACCTTCTGAATGCAAAGCAGATACTCCACCACTGAGCTAGAGCCCTGTAAAACATGCCTAGCAGGCTCAGCATGTCACATGCAGCTACAGCAAAAGCTGAAACCAGACTCTTTTAGTCCCCAGCCAGTCTCTGACTATGGGAAGGGAAAATCCCTTTCCAAGCTAAATATGGGGATCCATTACTGACATGGGGACAAATAGAAGAAGATGCATGGAATAGAAGAGTATGCTTCCCCTTTATCACATACATAATCGAACAAGACAACAACAAGAATCCACTGACAGCATACAAATCAATATGGCTAACCTGACCCAAAAATCCACCCCCTCACACACACAAACAAATTTCACTACAGCCAACCAAAGACAACTAACCACACCCTAGGCTACCCCCAACCTCTCTCACTACCAAAGAAATATTACAAGTGAATAGAAAGAGAACCCACACAAGTGATGCTGACACAAAATCCCACACATACACTACATGGAAGAATAGAAGCCCACCCCACCCCATGCACCATGCCCACCCTTCCCCTCTTTCCACCTCTTTTCTTCCCAACCTAATACTGCATGCAACACTAATGTATCACAGCAAATTAAACTGATTCGTAGAAAACACAATTTGAAAAAAGACACAATGCACGTATTTTTGAAAACTAAGATTTATTAATTAACATTATTTAAAAATAAAAAATATGGAGATCCATTTTAGTCTTTGGAGTCCAATCTGAAATGTGTTTACTTGGAAATAAGTTTCAGTAACTTCAGTGGGATTACCTTCTTTGAAAGTGCCAGTAGAATTAATACGCAAGTGATACCTGTTCAGAAACATCACACCCTTCCCTTCCCTTCCCAAGAGCCTCCGCTTCACTTATAAGTCCTAGGGTAAAAAAGTTTGTTATAATGTGCTTACCCAAGAATCACGTAACACAATGTGGAGCAGGATCCTGAGTATGCTAACTCAGATGGAGATTGGAATGACATTATTGCACAGGAAGCATGGTTTTTCCAATCCTATGTTTACCGTGTGAAGGGGAAGGAGGTTTTGCAGGGGAGAATTAG